AAAATCTCAATGAGCAACTTTTGGAAAAAAAATTCGGTATTTACCATCTTGCCACCAAAAATCAGAAGTTCTCGCAGTTCTTCTATGTAGCTCGCTAACTGTTCTACATAATGCAGGGAATGAGCGCACACTATTCAAGTGAAGAGTGTAAATTAGTTAATTTACGTGCCAATCTTGTACTTCAAATATTCGTAAAAATTGATTTCAGCAGGAAAGTCACCCATGGACACATCCTCACCTGCTCCCCAGGCTGCGCCAGTAGCTGCTGCTACCGCAAATACGGCTGGATTGCAACCTGATGCAATTGCTGAGGCACAGGCAAAGGCTCAGGCAGCTTTAGCTCAATACTTGGCCCAGGTATGTCACTTACTTTCGCTTTCAGATATGGTATGATTGTTTTTCAATCATTCTGAGTTTATGACATTGCGGAATGTCTCTACCTTGAAGTGCGCTCGATGTATGTTCGCATCTCTATCCGCTTTCCCCTGGAGCTCTACCCTATTGTTTTGCAATTTTTGATCGAGTCAAAATTTCCATGTACAACACGTATGAAATTTCAGAGCAAAAATCTGGCACTGCAACACTCGCAGCTGCAGCAGAAGAAAGAAGAGAAGAAAGATAATACACGTCCCATCAGCAGCACTCCTGTTAGTGGAACTGCTTGGTGTGTAGTATGGACTGGAGATGGAAAGGTTGGTTTTTAATTTTTCATCTCCACTTGGCGCCTCTGTCTTGTCCGAATAGTTAGCGCAACCCTATTTTAGGTATTTTTCTACAATCCATCAACAAAGACTTCCGTTTGGGAGAGACCACCTGAAATGTACGGAAGAGCTGATGTTGATGTTCTTGTCAGCAAATGTCCTGAGGTCAAAAAGGGTAAGCAAAAATTTTGTTTTTATTTATCTTTTACGAAGTCGATTTAGATGAACCCGAACATGCGAATGCTGAAGGTGATTCTGATGGCTCTGATGAAGAAACTGAAGATGGAGGACCACCGAAGAAGAAGAGTCGTTCCGAACGCAAAAAGGAAGCTCTGCTAGCTCAGCAGAAAAAGGATAAGGTAAAAGCAACGGTTGGTCTAGTCAATTCAATACTTTTGGGCCTTTTTGATTGTTGTTAGTAGCCATGAAGATGATCTCCATGTTTTTAGGAGAAACCTGTCCGCCAAATGCTAGAGAAACCAATAGATCCAGCAGTTCAAGCTGAGCTGCAGGCGCAGCGTGATCGTGAGAAGGTTTGTACGACAAGGTGTAAGAGTTTTACGCAAATAAATCCATATCCGTTTCAGATGCCTCTCGAAGAACGTCTTATGCAGTTCAAAACTATGCTTGGTGAGAAAGGTGTGGCTACTGGAAGCACATTTGAGAAGGAGCTTTCAAAAATTGTCTTCGATCCTAGATATCTGCTTCTTAGTGCTACTGAAAGAAGAGCGGTAAGAGATTCTTTGAGTACTTTTTTGTTTCAGGATTGAGGTTTCTGTTTTACATTTTATGTTTTGTGTGCAGTTAGCATATTTCTTCCAGTGCTTCGATGCCTATGTTCGCGAGAAGCTAGAGCAAGAGCGCGCTGAGAAGAAACGCCGCATGAAAGAGGCCAAGGAGAAGTTCC